AACCGCATCGTGCAGTTCGGGCCCGGGCCCGGGCGCTTCTTCACGCTGGGGCTGCCCACAGGTGGGTGCCGGGGGACGGGCGCGGGGCCGGGGCCGAGCGCGGGGCCTGCCCCGGCTGAGGCGGCCGCTCCCCGCAGGCAGCACCCCCCTGGGCTGCTACAGCAAACTGGTGGAGTATTACCGCAACGGGGACCTCTCCTTCAAGTACGTGAAGACCTTCAACATGGACGAGTACGTGGGTGAGTGCCGCAGCCTGTCCCCTCGCCTCTGTCCCTGCCCGGGAGCTGCCGGGCTAAGGGCCCGGCAGAGCCTGGCGGTGCCCGAAATCCACCTGTCCAGGTAAGATGGACAACATTTCACAGAGTTACAGCATCGGTTAGGATGGAAAAGACCTCTGAGATCATCGAGGCCAATCTATGACCCCACACCGCCGTGTCAGCTAAACCATGGCGCTGTGTGCCACCTCAGTCTTTCCTTAAACACCTCCAGGGAATTGGCAAAGGGGGACAGTTTGAAAACCTGTGGAAGAAATTTGAAATTTTTCCATAGGTTTGAAAACATATGGGCAAAACTGGACACTGGGTGTTGCCCAGTATTGCACACACTATTACAGATACTGCTGTATGTTAGCTGCACTCGGGTACTGACCAGGTAAGGAACAGCTTATCACTGCAGTGTGCAGCATTAACTTCCACCTTTGCTCTGGCATTGTAAAGGTCCCTTACAAGGACCACTGAGTTCCCTGAGTGCCCTCTGGTATCTCCTGCTGAGATAGCAAAGGACTGTCGTTTCTGAAGTTGTGATGAAATAGTCTCCTCAGAAGAAATAGATCCAAAGGTGAAAAAAAATACAAGCTAAATATTTGCTAATGCTAATTTTATCCTGGTCAGGAGTTTGGGTTTTTTTCTGTGAATAGTCAAATCAAGCAGCATTAGGGAATAAGCAGTCCAGTGTGGGTTTACAGCATTCAAGGCAGGGTAAATATGCAATAATTATAATTATTATTTTTCAGGCTTCTGCACGGTTTTTTAATAATTCTTACTGATATGAAATGGGAAAAAGGTACTGACAGATGAGGCACAGCACACACCTGCTTTTTGAAGATCTGTTGTATGTTAATATGGGCATGTGTCTTACAGGAACTGATTTTAATTCTGGTATTTAGGGAAATAAAAACAACTCTGAAAGCTGAGGGCGTGACAAGGGACAGAGAGAGCAGTGCTGTGTCACCAAAGCCACTGCAAGGGTATGGAAGTGCTTTGTTATGGGTGATACTGCTCCAGCTGCCTTCAGTCCTGTGTGCTCTGTTACCAGGTCTCCCAAGGGATCACCCAGAAAGTTACCATTCCTTCATGTGGAATAACTTCTTCAAGCACATTGACATCTCACCAGAAAACGTCCACATCTTGGATGGAAATGCTCCTGATCTCCAGGCAGAGTGTGATGCATTTGAGGAGAAAATCAAAGCAGCTGGAGGCATCGAGCTCTTTGTTGGAGGTGAGAACGCGAGAGCAGCAGCCTCTAAACCCTGTCCCAAAGCTGGGCCCATCCTCTCCAGCTCTCATTTATTGCCAGGGTTGTTCGTTTTCAGTGCATTTGCAGTGAAATGCACCCCACGGTCTGTGGCCCTGGGCACTGCTGTGTCCAGCAGCCTTGTCTCCCCACGTAGCACTCCCAGCTTTAGGTCTCTCAGTGCAGTCAGTGAATTGTTCAGGAAATGTTAGCAGGAGAAATGGGAAGGGCTAGAATTGTACAAATACAAAGTGTTTATCAATTGTCAGTGGCAACAGGAAACTGCTGGGAGTAGCTTTTCCTACACAAGCTCTTCCCATAAGGTTCTGCCACCTACTTTGCTTTGCTGTTGTCCCAGCGCAATCAGGGAATTGTCTGGTGGCTTCTGAGGGGGCTCCTGCTGTTGTTCTACCAGACACAGATCTGAGCTGGAGCAGAGGAATTGCAGGGGTTTTTCTCAGCTCTGTGTTCCCAGGAGCACTGTCTGTCCTTCTCCTGGAAGAGCTGCTGGCTCTGCTCCCACAGCTGACCCTCTGCTCACGCTGTCCCTGTCCCAGGTATCGGCCCCGATGGTCACATCGCCTTCAACGAGCCGGGATCCAGCCTGGTGTCCAGGACACGAGTGAAGACCTTGGCCATGGACACCATACTGGCCAATGCCAGGTTCTTTGATGGTGACCTCTCCAAAGTGCCCACCATGGCTTTGACAGTTGGAGTAGGCACTGTCATGGATGCCAGAGAGGTGAGGAAATAAGAAGTGGCTTCCTGCAGTCCCTCTGGAGCAGCCAAAGGTTATCCTGTTATGGAGCAGCCACGTGTCCTCTGGAGTAGGGTATTCCTGCCACAGAATGCCTGATCCTCCTGTCCTCTGGCATCCTGCAGCACCTGGAGCCTCTTACTCCGTCTCTGCTGGCACTTGTGTTTGTGTCACCCTGCATCTGCTGCTCCCCCCAGGAGCCAGGAAGGTTTGGCAGGGTGATTTTGGTTAGGGATCTCACCTGGAGAGTAACTGCAGAAATCAGGTTGAGTTGATGTCACACCAGCTGGTCATGAAAACTGTGTGGGAGCACTTTTACTGGAGTCTATTCCTTGACCTACACTCGTTAAATCTCAGTGTACAGGTGCCCAGAGGATCGCTCCAGTGACCCACCAGGCTGTGGTTTCATTGAGGGCTGAAGCAGCAGAGCAGCAGCACAGAGAAGTGGCTGTGGGTGACAGGGATGTCCCCATTCTCAGCTTGGCAGGCTTGGGCTCTCCCTGACCCGCCATGCCAGGCCCTGACTGCCCCTCTCTGTGTCTGGGGGTGCAGGTGATGATCCTGATCACGGGAGCCCACAAGGCCTTTGCTTTGTACAAAGCCATCGAGGACGGTGTCAACCACATGTGGACAGTGTCGGCCTTCCAGCAGCACCCCAACACCGTGTTCGTGTGCGACGAGGACGCCACGCTGGAGCTCAGAGTCAAAACAGTGAAATATTTCAAAGGTGAATGTTTGACCAGGCCAGGCAGCTGTTTTGTTACATTTTTAGGAGCCACAAGCCATGCTTTGCAGAGATGTTACTGTATAAACAACTCCCAAAGGAGTATATTCCTTAAATATACTGCAGTAGTACAAGTGTGAAGGTAAATGCTTAATGCTTGGTGTGGAGCAAAGGCACAAGGACAACAGCAATGTCTAATTCTATTAGCATCCAATGAGGGAGAACTTTCCTTTATTATGTCTACTTAAATTGTCTTTTGCCTCTCTCCATCAGGTTTAATGCTGGTTCACAACAAGCTCGTGGAGCCCTTGTACAGCATGAAGGAGATGGGAGCAGAGAGGAGCCAGTCCAAGAAGCCATACAGTGATTAATGTGCTGGAGCAGTGCTGAGCCAGCTGCTGAAAACAGCTGGAAGAAAAGGGAATTTCTGCAGAAACTGATCTCATATTTGTTTTTAAATTAGCAGAATGATTGAATGGTTCATTCTCTCCATTAAAGAGACAGATGCCAAACACCTGCCTTAATTACCCAAAGGAGGATGGGATCCAGTGTTCTGTTTTCCACAAATTTCTGCCACCAACTCACTCTCTGAAGGAAATGAAGAATGAGTTGTTAGATCTGTGAACTGACTGTAATCTTGGACTGAGGGCTGTGAAACTGAAAAGTGAGGATAAATGAAAGTACAACAGAAGCAAGTGGGTGATCACTTTGGGGTGTATTCCTTGCAATTAGGACAAGTATCTCATGTTACTCCTTCCTCCTCCATGAGACACTCACATTAGAATCCTGGAAAAGAGGATTGTCCAGCTGGAGAAAGGAAAGCTCAGAGCAGCACCCAGAGCCACGAGAGGGCAGGAAGAAGATGGAACCAGGGAGAAGATGGGAAGGGACAGTGGGGCCTGAGTGGAGACACGATGTCTATGCTGGAGAGGATAAACCCCACAGTGGGAACAGCCAAGCAGTGGGGCAGGATCCCCACGGCTGTGCAGGCTCCTTAGGAGGTTGCCAGGACCTGACTGGATAAAGCCCTGGCTGAGCCCTGCTTTGAGCCACATGCTGGACTTGAGACCCTCAGCAGAAGAGGCTGCAGCAGCATCCTCCACACGGGGTCCGTGAGGCAGCTCAGGCACCTGAGCATGGCACTGCTGTCTCACACAAAGCCCTTGCTCCTGTTCAGGCCCAGGTATGATTTGCTATGCCTGGTGCTTTCTCTTCTCCAGAACTTTCTGTTTCTCTGAGGAAATGCCAAACCAGCCCCAAAGGAAACACTGTTCCTGCTGGCTTCAGCTTCTGTTTAAGTACAGACACCCCACACAGCCAAGACCCCACCAATTCTGAAATGTGAATCCTGGGATTTCTATCCAGTGCTCTCACACGAGGGGCAAGAAAACTGGGAAACATTTATTTTCTTTATACAGAAATTTTGTAAGTTGTTGATCTGTAATGTAACTTCCTTCACTAAATGTCTTTAAATTTTTTAAAAGTTGACATTTGCCTGGATGTGGTGCTCAGTCTCAGTGTGCTCATGGTACCAAAGCTGTCCTGGAGGCAGTGTGGTGAGAAGGGCTCCTGCTGCTCCCCCCTTCCTGCCCAGTGTTTGCTGGCAGGTTTTTCTCAGAGGGAAAAGCAGGGCCCTCAAGGTGGGAGGGCACTCGGCATCTACAGAAATCCCGTGAGCAGAACACATCCTCTGCCAGCTGCAGGTGGGAGCTCTGGGCTGCCAAATCCATGCCAGAAGGAAGACAAACAGGGACACTGTGTTTGCCATCTTAAAGTGAATTTAGTGCATGTGAAAGGTGCAGGAAATACAACTCAAACCATACACAACGTACACTTTTCCTACACACTGACCTAGAGATCCAGCTGAGGTGAGATTTGCTCTTCCTTTCATATTTTTAATCTCTGTGCCAGTTCCAACAGTGCAGTCTCCTCCTCTGCAGAGGGAACTGAAGCACCACTCGTTTTGGCCACACATCCCAGGATAAATTCATTAACTCTCAGTCAGAACTGAGTGAGCTGTAATCACCCTGAGTTCCTGAGGAATCTCAGCTCCAGAGATTTCCATCCAGGCCATACTGCTCTTGAACACAGCACATGCAACTTTAGTTTTCAAATAAACTTTTAAAAGTGGAAAATCTTGTAAAAAATCAGTGTTTGCCTCCAGTAATCACCTTCATACTCTCAAAACCACTTGCTGAGATTTTAGGAGAAACAATTTGGTTTCTGAAATAATTTGAAGTGCAAAACCAGTGGAAATAAAGGATCTAGTCCACAAGCAAGTATCAACAATCAAATTTCTTATATGAAGAGTTAATAAATACTTAATCAACTGAGAACACAAGGTAATTGTCAGTATCTTGAGGAATTCAAGTTCATCTCTTCCTGATACTTTTTACCCTCTCACTGGTCACATCCTCAGCTCACTGCCTTGGCACTCATCCCTGCCAAAACAAGGACAGGCAACGTGAGGGAATCCAACAGCAACACTGGGAGTCACCAACCTCTCAGAAATCCCTGGAAATGGCTCTTGGTCATTTTCTGCCCAAGCTCTCAGGGGTGCAAAGGCTCAGGCACAGCAGCCAGCGAGAAGGGTTGGGGATAATCAGCTTTAATGTCATCAGAAAGTACCAGTGACAGAGCCAGAACTGCTTTTCAGAGAAGCACATCAGGAAATTCATAAAAGCAACAAACTGTTGCTGGATATGGAAGAAATTCTCTGTATTGTACCAGGAAACTCCCCCAGCCCAAGCAGCTCCAGAGAGAGCACTACAGCTCCACCAAACCACCCCAAGCCCCACAATATTCATGATCCAAGAGTCTCCAGGGGTCAGTCTCCCTAAAGGAAACCCCCAAAATACTTCCAGGATTTGAGGCTTCAGTTTTATCTGTTGGCTTTTAAAAAAGGGGCACCTCTTGGTATATATTTTTCCAATGGTTTTCCAATTTCTGGCTTCTTCAATAATGGACATGTTTGTTTGGGCATTCCATGATGATCCTGATCCCATGATGGGGAAAAGTCTCCTTTGGTTTTGGCAACAGGCTCTGAGGTGTGAATGTCCTGCAATGCAGGGCAGTTACCACTCTTCTGTCACACAATGGAAGTGAAAAGCAAACGAAGGACACACAAAAAGCATCTGCCTCTGCTTCCTTCACCTTTTGGTGCTGGAGGAAGCTACTGATCATCGTCTTCCACTTCCCAGAACTCCCCATCGTCAATGTGCATGGCTTGAAACAATCTGCAAGACAGAAAATCAGTGATATCAGGGCATAAAGAAAGTCAAATACATTCAAAAAGTTATCACCATAAATGAAAAAAATGTGACTTTTTTTCAGTATCACCAACCACCATCCATGCCCTGTGGAAGGGGCAAGAGAGCTGGTGCCATTGTCACCCTCCTGGGACCTGCCTGTCACCTGTCCCACAGCAGCACCTCTGTCCCTTGGTCCTTCCCCAAGGGAATGGGAGGCAAATCTGCAGCTCCTTAAAGCAGCTCTTCCCCAAATCCTCGAGCTGCTCCTGACCATTGCAGGGAAACACTTCCCTGCAGGCTGTGCCAGCACAGGAGGGGTGAGATCATGACCTGACCAAAAAAAATCAGGAATAGGCTCAGAAGAGTCCTCCAGATTTTTAAAACCAAAGTTCTTAAAAAGCAAAACCACATCCTGAATCACTCCTGGTTTTTACTGTTAGTGCAAATATTTGAGAGGAGAAACTGTGTCTTAAACTGTAGTTACAAATTTCAGGTTAAGAATCTGGGAGAGACTGTAAGGAAAAGTGGGAAACAGGTGTTCCAGCAGAGCAGGAGGTCCCTGAAGCACCGACCTGTTGAAGCAGGGGGAGGAGGGGTCGTTGAAGTGCCGGTAGGGGTTGGCCCGGGACAGGGAGCCCATGCAGAGCCAGCAGAAATACTGCATGCACCCTGTGCAGGTCATCTTGTTACAGCCATCCAGTTTCTGGGGGAAAAAAACAAGAAATGGTGATAGCAGAACCCTGCTGTGGCAGGCTTCAGTCCCTCCACCAGCCCTCAGAACCACAGCAGTCAGTGAACACATCCTCCCCACACTGGTTTCACTGGGAGCTGGAATCCAGCACTGGGAATTGGTTATAATATTAATAATACTGTAAATCAGTATTCTTCTGAAGCTGGATATATTTCCTGGCTCTAGTGTGAACCAGAGGTAGCCTGAAACACCTGGGAAACAAAAGGGTTCATACAGATCCAGTGTCAAGCTGGACCTGTTTAGTGTGGGAGCCTGACCACCTTTCACCATTTGTACTCCAGTCCTTGGGATCCACAAACATCACCTTCTCCTTCTCACACAGAAATGGAAACTTCTCTCAGTATTTCCAAGAGATTTCCTCTCCCTAGAGGCTGCAACACCCCAGAACTGCCTCCTTGGGGGGTATTTTCTGCTCCATGACTCCCCAGCCTTTCCCTCCTCACTCACCTCGATGTGGGTCCCACAGCAAGGACAAGACTTGGAGTTCTTTTCCAGCCATTCCTTACTCTCCATCTCCTCCAGGGCTTTCTGAATCACTCTCTTGCCATAGCGTTGTTCCAAAAATCTTTTATTTGTCTCATCTGCTTCTAAATACTCATTCCTCAAATCCATTAATTTCTCTGGGGGGCAAAATCAAACCAAACCTTTTGTAAGATATTAGATATAGAAGTCCAGCTAATTGCAGCATAAAGATTCTCAGGGAACAATTACGCCATGAATTAAAAAGCAAGAAAACTATTAAAATACATAAGATGGTAATATTAAAACCAAAATTCAGCAGTTTTACACTGTTGTATTATAAAAGAGATCTATTGATGGAATTAGAACAATGTAAAATAAACTCTAAATGGAAATATTTTTTTCTGACTATATATTTAATGAAATTCTGTCACAGGATTTTGAGGCCAGACAGAGAGAAGCCTCCACCTGATTCCAGTATTAACTCTGACAATACAAAGTAGTGCAAATATAAAGAAATTCTTGTCCTGCTACAGCCTCTCAGCATTTGACAATCAGCAGTTTAAGGAGCTCCTGAGCTGAGGAGTCTCACCAAAGGAATATTTAATTGCCAGCAACAGCCCTCCTCCAAATGAATGTGCCTTTCAGAAAGCTCAGGGTGAGGAGTTGCCTTGCTCAACTTTGGACTTTTCCAGCCAAGATTTAGCTGTGCCTGGGAGTGCCTGTGGAGCCCAGGAGGAGGTGCCTCACCTGCAGTGACCTTGCAGGGGGACACACCATGGTAAGTCATCTTGCAGAGGGTGCAGAAGGCGTAGTTGCAGCAGGAGCAGATGCCCATGGTGCAGCCGGGCTCCTGCATCACGGGGGTCTGGCAGCCAGGCCGGGGGCAATAAACCACATCAGCCATCAGGTCCAGGCTGGACTGCAGCAGCAGGCGGTCATAGCGGGCAAACAGCTCCTCCCCAACCAGCTCCTTCACCTGCAAACACAAACAGATGCAGGGAAGAGATCCCTCACCCACACCCACTGAGGTCCTGGCACAGGTGCCCAGAGCAGCTGGGGCTGCCCCTGGATCCCTGGCAGTGCCCCAGGCCAGGCTGGACAGGGCTTGGAGCAGCGTGGGACAGTGGGAGGAGGGGGAATGGATGGGCTTTCCCACCCAAACCAGTCTGGGATTCTCTGATTCCTTGCATCTGTAATTCTGAGCCTGCTGCAGCAACAAACAGCAAGTCAGTGAAAAGGTACCAACAGCTGGGATGAATCCACTTTACAGTCTCCTTCAGGTCACAGGGAGTCAAGGATCTGCTCCCAGGAAACAAGGGACAGACAAGAGGAAACTGCCTCAAGCTGTGCCAGGGGAGGCTCAGGTTGAATATCAGGAGGGATTTCCCCATGGAAAGGGTGCCCAGGCCTTGGCAGGGGCTGCCCAGGGAGGTCTGGAGTGCCCATCCCTGGATGGATGTGGCACTTCATGATATGGTTTAGTGGCATGGTGGGACTGGGTCAAAGGCTGAACTTGGTGATCTTGGAGGTCTTTTCTGACCTCAATGCCTGTGTGATTGCCAATGTCCACCATGCAGAGCCACAGCCTGGCCCTGAACTCGGGCTGGGTTCCAGAGCTCCACAGCCCCTGTGCACGGGAATTACCTGGCCTGGAGTGGCGACAGAAGAACACTTGGGCTCGGGGCAGTTGAGGCAGTGCACCTGTCCATCCCTGATCTGGATTTCAAAGTAGTCCTTCAGGCAGGCTTTGCAGTACACGTGGCTGCACTCGGTGAAGTGCATGCACTCACTGCCCAGCTTCTCACAGAAGCAGATACTGCACGAGTACATCTTACTGTTAAAGCACTTCCTCCTCTGGGCCTGGTCAAAGTCCAAGATCTCCCTGATCAGACTGGACAAGGATTCCACATCCTGCACAGCCCTGGCATCCACGATTTCCTCCTCAGCTGTGGCAGAGCCTGTGGCACCCCCACAGTCCTTCCCAGGCTCGAGGGGCCCCACTGGTGTCCAGCTCTGCCCCTTGC